ATGGATTAATACATAGTGTGGACATCTGTGACTGGGCTAGCTTTGCTCATTAAGTTACAAGCTAGGGTTCTGACTCCATTTGCGATTCATCAGGGCCCATGTTCACTAATTGCAAAGTTGAGGACATCAGTGCTCTGATTCTCCAGCTTTCTCTTTATCATGGAAATATACACAATGGAGGAACGTTATGACTGCCTGGGAACTATGACATTTTTAGCATTTTAATTGTTCCAGCATCACTTGGTGGTGTTCTTTGGATTGCCTGTGTGTACGCATGCACTCACACTCTGTTATAAATCTGGAAAGGGAGAGAGGGGAAAAAATACTATTTATATAATTAAACTCTTGTTCTTATCAATATGTATAGGTATGGAATTCCTATTATATAATCTCATTGGTGAATGGTTTTGAAGTTGTCCTTGCAAGCTGCTTTTGCCCTTCTCCCTACTTTTCATTTTCATAGTTAATTCTTATAGAACCTTTGAGCTGGACAGGTTTTTAGTCTAAACCCCAAATCCTTTGTGTATGTATTAGCTCTGACCAGCAGCTGCATAGTAACTGTTTATGCACTTCTAATTTCAGGATGCTTCATTCCCCAAAGCAGCCAATTCGGGTTTTGGAGAATTCTACTTACTAGCGAGACTTGCACATAAAAATCAAACTTTTCTCTTTTAGTCTTATGCTGAAAAGAGTTCCTTTTTATGTACTACCTTATTCAGACATTCTGCTCTCTGAAACACATAAGTCTCCCCAGTCTTCTTAGAAAACCCTTCAAACAGGTGACATAGCTTTAGTGCTTGTATTTTTCTTGAACTTCCTTGGATGAACATTTCTTATTCCACAAGGTAATTTCTGCAAACCCTGAATGACATCTCTGTTGTGTATAGGGGAGGCCAGAGGGTTCATGTGCCCATGGTCCAATGGTTGGCCTTTGAAATATACACAGAAAGAATGATTATGGAAGAATGATTTATGTTCCTAAACTTTGGGCACAAGTCATGGATCCAGTCCATCAGTGTCTACAAGTGGAGTTGGAGATTCCTAAGTGGCTCCTTGCTCTTTCCTACAAGTTCCTTCTCTCACACATTTTTTTTTTTTACCACGTGGCTACCCTTTTTTGGTAGGCTGATGAATTACCTTTCCCATGGACTACCTGCCTCTTGTTAGGTACTTGGTCCTCCATTATTGCCTCTAATTGTTTTAATATGTTTTTGCAATGGTGAATGAATCAGTATGGTGGTAGCATAAAGTACAGTCTTTCTAAAACTCATCTCTGGTCATGTACTTCCCTCCTGAATAAATGAATGAATGAAGGAAGGGAGGAAAGAAATATAACAAAACCAAAAATAGATGTCCAAAAACAAAAAAGAGACAGGACAGAATCTTGGAGCCAGTATTTAAGGTATAGAAAAAAAGAGAATGGGAAAGAGTAACTATTGTTACTTAATATATATACTAGGCATTGTTCTAAGGTGCTGTTTTACTTATGCTAGTTTTAATAATTCTACCTTTTTTGATTCATTCATTATTTCAAACCTCATAGTGCATGTGTGCATGTGTGTATATGTGTGTGTGTGTGTGTGTGTGTGTGTGTGTGTGTGTGTGTGTGTGTGTGTGGTTAAATGTGTGTTTTAAGTACTACTCCTCTCTATATGGACTTGTCTAGTTTGCTTTACTATAGGGTGTGAAATATCCCCATACGTAGTTTTCCTTTTGTTTCTGCTTGAGCCCTAGGAATGTCAGTGGACATGGACAAATCCATATATATTCACCTACTGTAGATTTCTGTATCATGCAGTTTGTGTGAATTTAAACTCTAGTTCCATAGTTGTAGCTAGTCTTGGGTTTTGTTTTCTCTTAAGTAAGTATTTTCACTTCCCCACCCTAATTCAAGGCTCTTATCAGAAGGTGATTTGTTACTGCCCACCCAGGTAGCAGCTAACATATTTCAAGGCACCATGACATATATCTGATAACACTTCAAACTTTATATATGGGCTATTTCCAGCTATTTACCTTGTAGGGCATAAAAACAAGAATCTTTTTCTTGCATAGATAATTAGAACCCACCCTTTGGTTCCCAAAGCCTATATTTGCTTCACAAAACACCATGGATCATGACTGAGTCGGCTCTTGCTTACCACTTTGGTTTTGAGTTCTCAGTTTGATTTTGACATGTAGGAGTTGACTTCAAGCTTGAAAATTATTTAAGATTTTGAGTTTTACTTACCATGTAAAAATGTTTTTTGGGAGATGAGGTGCCATCCATTTGTGGCCTCTGTATCTCTCCTATATAATCTTCAAACTAACCTTATGAGATGTAGTTATAATTATCTTGATTTTATGGATGATACCATGGTTCAGGATGGTTAGGTAAGTTGCCAGAAGTCACACAGCCTGTAAGTGGCAGGACAGAGATGTACAGTCACCAGCAAAGGAGACAAAGGAGGAATGTTTCTAGAAGCAGGAAGAAAACCAGAAATGAGTGATTCATAGAGAAGGAAAGTGGTTCAAGGTTTGGATAAGAATCAAATGCTATTAGAGGGGTAGGGGCTGAGAAAATCATTGAGTTCAGCAGTTTTCTAAAGAGAACAGATTGTGTCTAAGTGACTATTTGAAGTGGGCCTGGAGGGCAGGGACTGTGTGGTCCCAAACTCTTCCTTCAGCACCACTTGCAAATAGGCACTTAAGTGCTTTTTGATGATGATGGTGATTATCCAAAATTTTCCTTGAAATTGCACTTCCCATTCGAAAAATTTATGCAAAAATATGAGATCAGGTCTAGTGTTATGCTCACTTTGAATCCCCTTTTTCTCTGGAAAGTTGCCTATAGAACCTCCTCAGGGGAAAAACATGGAAAGGAGGGTCAGCTAGTGACAGGCTAATTAGAGGAGGCAGTTGCAGTAACTTTAGCTTTGCAGGGAAGGCAGAACATTCTTTCTTGAGCACCTACAACGTATTGGGTATCACACTATTTCATACTCGGAGTCTCTTTCAACCCTTTGGCAGAGCGCACTGTTGTTCTTGTTTTGAAGATGAGTCAGCTAAGGTTTTAGAGCATGGATGTGTCCCAGGGAAACAGAACTAGAAATGACAGAAATGGGGTTCAGGCAGAGACCAGTCGGACTCCACAGTGTGCCATCTTAATTGTACAGGTCCCAGAGTGGGGTCTGTTTTAAGTGGTTCTTGAAACTCCCCTGAGTCCGTGGGGAATGTGACTGCCAGAATCAAAAAGGGAAATCAGTGTGTTCACATTGTCTCCCAGACACTAAGATGTGTGTTCAGGTGGGGCCCAGCTGACAGGTGAGTCAGGATTTTTATGGCCTCTGAGTTTAGCTCACTGGTGAATCCTGAAGAGCAGACAAAAGCCAGAGGGCTGCAGGCTGGGTAAGGGGTGTCTGCATCAAGACAGAGGAGCAGGAACCTGGAGACCCATCTGACTTCACATGGAGCTTTCTCTCAATCAAGCTGAGGTTGACAGTTTCATTCATTTATTTCGTCATTCATACTACAAACGTGTATGGGCTCGTCTTCACTGAATAATCCTTTATTGAGGGCAGACTTAGGAAGGCAGTAAAATCAGAAAGATAGGAATGCAGGTTCATAGACTAGAGAATAACACAGAGTGCCTACCAGATGTCAGGCACTGAGCCAGGATATAAGGATCTCAAAATGAGTAAGGCAGTGAAGACGTGAGCTTTCTGGTACAGTAACCACCAGCCACGTGTGGCTAAGAAGTTAAATTTAATTAACTACATATAATGAACAATTCCACTCTTCAGCGGCATTAGTCAAAGCCACATGTGGTTGGTGCCTACTGTATTGGTTACTACAACTATAGACCATTTCACCATCATTACAGAAAGTTACATTGGAGTGTAGGCGAGAGCAAGTGTTGGCTCTAGAATCATAAGGCCTGGGTTGGAATCTGGCTCTGTCCCTTAGCAGCTGTGTGTTATTGAGCAGGTCTTAAAAATACCTGCCTTTCTTCCCATATCTACACAATCGGGAACACAGTTGAACAACAAAATAGGAAATGTCTTACAGGGCACTCACTATGTTCTAGGCACCATTGCAACTGCTTTATTTGCATTAATTAATGTAATCTTTTCATGCCTCTGGTGAGGTAAATGCTGTTCTTATCGTACATGTAGAAATAGGGACAGACAAGGCATGCAGCTCATTAGAGCTGCATGTGAACCCAACAGCCAGGATCCAGAATCCGTGCTGTCCATCTTTATCATGATTCCTAAAGGCACAATCTCCTGGTGATGATGGAAGAATTAAATCATTTACTGTGTAAGATCTTTGTATCTGCCTGGCATAGAGTGAGAGCTTAGGAAAGTTAGTTATTATCCTGGCTTTCAAGGAATTTTGAGAAACTCCTTACTTTTTATTCTCTTTGAGAATCTAGAAGAGGTGAATACCTTGTTCCTGTTGTTTGTGGAAAGCAGCAGAAAAAGCACTCTAATGGGAGACAGAGGACTTTAGCCCTACCTTGGACACGTCATCCCCCTTCTCTACTTCAGTGTCCTCATCTGTAACCTGTGGGGTTGAACTAGAATGTCCTGGCTTCTGTTTCCTTTTCCAAATTCTCCCATTCCATGATAAATGGGGCCTGATATGCATTGCACAATTGCAAGTCATGTATAAATATTAGCTTATGCAACTGGTTAATCACTTAATGTCAGATAAATGTGCAGAGCAAGGTGTTTAATATGTTTATATAAACTGTACAAACCTCTTTGTCATTAATTGTGCTTACCCAGTGTCCTCGCATGATTGTGTCATGGCAGGGAGCTTGGCATGGGTGCCTGTCCCTCCAGAGTGGGTACAGGCTCTGATTTCTGCCTCGGGCTCCCTCCCATGCACTTGGGAACTGGGGTTTTGAAAATGTTTATGCAAACAGTACAGCTCGCAGAATTGGAGACACACGAGGCATTCTCTCTGTCTTCAGACAGGCTGAGCTCCTTGTGGCACTTCATTTTTCATTCAGTCAGGGAAAAGATGGGAAATACCACAAGTTTACACGGGGATATCAAAACTTTTTTTTCCCCCTTTCTCTCCTTTTTAAGTTTTACCACAGGAGATTCAGCACAATTTCAGGGCAGTTATGGGAAATTTCTCAGGTGTGATAAAGATTCTCTGGGCTTTTGTCCCATTGATTTTTATGGGACTGTGGATGGCTGTAAAATCAGAGTGGGCACAGTGCAGCCATCTGCCTGACAGTCTGGACTGTGCAGGATAGCAGGAGGGCTTGGGGCCGGAGCAGGATGGAGCCGAGAAGGGACATGCTGTGACCTTGTTCCCAGAGAAGAAGGCTGGCCTTAGCTAGAATTCCAGGGAGAACTGAGTGAAGGGACTTGTTTCAGAGGGATGTGCAGCGTTAAGAGATGCAAGACCACGGGGTAAGGCACCCAGAGACCAGCAGTGTTAGGAAGCAGTGATAGAAAGTGGTTAGAACCCTGGCCTGAAGGAGAAAAGAAGCTAAGGTGGGGGCCTGCTCAACAGCTGAAACTGGAGGTGGAATTCCTGCTAGAAATATGGGGCCTGGGCAGGAAGGAAGTGGAGGGTGGAAAGACAACTCGCAGCCTGTCTTTCTCCTCCTGCCAAACACCTGCTGGTGACTTTCTTTGGTTGCACTCACCTAGAGAGCAAGGAATCCAGGTGTGCTAAGGCAGTCCATGTGGGTGAGCCCTGCAGGGGCACAGAACAGGCCAGAGAAGGCTAGAAATGGGTGCCAAGTGAGGACAATGGAGAGTACTCAGCCTAGACAGATGTGCACAGCTGTGTAGTTGAGTGTAAGGTAATGGAGTAGGTCTAGGGAGGGGAGGGGAGCACATTCAGAACATGGGGCTTCAGCTTATTAAATCTCCTTGCTTCTTCTGTGATGTCTAATCAGCTATTTTCTAAATGGACCAGCATCCAATATTTACCGAACTATTGCTGTGCAGGGGCAGCAGTGAAGAGGCAGAGGGCGCCTGCTTTGAATTAAGCAGACTTGGGTTTTCTTTTCAATCCTGGTATAGTTGTGAGGTGGCCTTTGACTACTGACTCAGCTTTCTCACCCTCAGTTTTCATTTCTGTGAAGTGGGGCTAAAT